ATCCTCAACCTTGTAGCACTCAGGTTGTTGCATGTAGATCTCTTCATCCAAGTCTCCGTGCAAGAAGGCTGTTTTAACATCGAGTTGTTCCAGCTCAAGATCACCATGAGCAACAATATTCAATAGCACCCGAATAGAAGTGTGTTTTACCACCGGAGAAAAGATCTCATTGTAATCCACACCCTCTTTTTGTGCAAACCCTTTAGCCACTAGCATCGCCTTGTACCTTGTACCACCGAGCTCTGAAGGATCTTCCTTTTTCTTATACACCCACTTACAACCAATAGCTTTTCTTCCTACGGGCAATGGGACCACCTCCCATGTTTGGTTCTTCCGAAGAGATTCCATCTCCTCCTCCATCGCAGCCAACCAACTCTCACTATCTTTATCCCGAATAGCTTCCTTGAAGGAGACCGGCTCATCTTCCTCCACCGAGAGTGCGTATTCAACCAAATTAACCTGCCCATAGTGCTTCAGGGGTTGATCAGCCCCCAGCTTCTGTACCTGCTTGTATGCTCGCTTTGGCCTAGTGGAAACCAAAGTATCCTCGAGCTGGTGTTGCTTGTATATTTTCTTGCTGAACCTCCTCCTGCTCAAGCTCATCATCTACCTGATTTCCCACTTGAACATGACTAGAACCTGGTTGGTCTTTAGGTTCTATCTCAATAACCTGGGACTTTGAAGTCCCAACAGTCCCAACACCATCATCCTTGGGCGTCCTAGCAATCATGGATTTTTCATCAAAGGTAACGTCCCTGCTGATCACAAACTTCGAATCTTCTGTACACCAAAGGCGGTAGCCTTTTACGCCCTTCGCATACCCCAAGAATATCGCCTTCTTGGCCCTCGCGTCAAGCTTTCCCTCGTTGACGTGATAATAGGCGGTACATCCGAAAATTCTGAGCCTCTCATAATCCGCATGTTCCCCTGACCACACCCTATAGGGTGTATCACCATCTAGGTTAGAATGTGGAGAATGGTTCACAATGTAACATGTTGTAGCCACTGCTTCTGCCCACCATTCATTGCCCAATCCAGCATAAGATCGCATACTCATTGCCTTCTCCCGCAATGTTCGGTTCAGTCTCTCCGCGACCCCGTTCTGCTGTGGTGTTGACCTGACTGTCCAGTGTCGAACAATGCCCTCCTGATCACAGAACTTCTTGAAAGCACCATCTGTATACTCTGTACCGTTGTCAGATCTTAATGTCTTCAATTTCTTTCCTATCATGTTCTTAACTATCGCCTTCCACTTCTTGAATATCTCAAATACCTCATTCTTATGCTTCAGAAAATAAATCCAAGCATACCTAGAATGATCGTCTATGAACGAGACAAAATACCTGGAACCACCCTTGGAAGTTGTCTGAGCCGGACCCCAAACATCCGTGTGCACATAATCTAGTATACCTCTGCTCTTGTGATTGCTTTTCAAGAATTGGACCCTGTGCGCCTTTCCGTACACACAATCCTCACAAAAATCCATGCAAGGTTTCTTCAGATTCTTCAGCAAACCCTCCTTACCAAGCAGAACCAGACCCTTCTCTGACATGTGCCCAAGCCGCCTATGCCATAACCGGGTGTGCTCACATGGGTCTCCACCACTTCCATCAGTTCCAACCGCTGCATCTCCTGTCACCGTCGTACCCGAGAGAGTATATAGATTACCGTGACGAACACCCTTCATCACTGTTAGGGAACCTCGAACAACCTTCTTTACTCCGTTCTCTGTAACAATCTTGCAGCCACCGGAGTCTAATGCACCCACTGAGATAAGATTCTTCCGCAAGTCGGGAACGTGCCGCACGTCCGTTAGGGTTCTGACCACTCCATCATGCATCTTGATTTTTATATCACCGAGCCCCACCGTTTTACAAGCATGGTTATTCCCCAGCAATACAGTTCCACCATCAATGCTCCTATAGGTAGTAAACCACTTCCTATTTGGGCACATGTGGTAAGAGCAACCTGAATCAAGTATCCACTTACCGGAGGTATCTTCGCCACCCGTAACAACATAGCATTCTTTATCGCTCCCTTCCTCCGATGCGTAACTCGCCTCTTCCTTGCCTTCTCTTCTCTCGGTCTTGTTGTTGTTCTTTTTCCCACCTACTCTCTTGTTAGGACAGTCAACCTTGAAATGCCCAACTTCACCGCATTTGAAGCACGCTCGTCCCGCAAGGGGTCTCGATTTAGATCTAGACTTTCCTCCCTTGCCTTTTCCTCGCTCATTGCTCCTTCCTCTAGCAAACAATCCCTGCGCTTGTTCTTTGTTACCACCAGTAGTCATGTCACCGGTTGCAATCTTTCGAAGGTCATCCCCTAGAAGCGCCGTTCTAGTCTCATCCATCGTCAAATTGTCTCCCACAAGCATCAGTGTTTGCACCAGGTTCTCATAAGACTTCGGCAGAGATAGAAGTAGTAGAAGCGCCTGATCCTCGTCTTCCACTGTCACCTCAATGTCTTTCAAGTCCGATATGATCCTATCGAACTTGTTGATGTACTCCCGGATTGACGAGCCCTCGTCCATCTTGCAAGTATACAATTTGGATTTTAAATAGATCCGGTTCATTAGACTCTTCGTCATGAAGGTGCTTTCTAACTTCAACCACACGCCCGCAGCCGTTTCCTCTCCATCTACCAAGAAAGCTACATCCCTTTCAAGGCAAAGGATAATCGACGCCCGTGCTTCCAGATCCAGCTCCTCCCAATCCTCATCAGACATATCCTTGTGCTTCTTCTCTTTTCCCGCCAAAGCTTTGTGCAATTTCTGCGAAATCAACGTGTTCTTCATCTGCATCCTCCAATAGGAAAAATCATTCTTCCCATTGAATTTTTCAATCTCGTATTTTCCCACTTTAACTGTTTTACTTGTTGACGCCATTTTCCGCTTGTATTAATGAATCCGCTTCTCTCAGGAAATTACCGAGCACCACCTCAAATCAGAAGCTACACCATTCCCAATCTGAATAACAGCTCTGATACCAATTGTTGGGCGCAAAGTCACGCCCACCGCCGCAGAAGCGATATCACCTGAGAGAAAGCCCTGGCTTTTGTTATCACAAAAGCACAAGTCAACCTCTATATTCTTGTTTCTCAAAGGAAACGCGAATAGATAATGAAATTCTTATTTCTCAAAGAAAAGAAGAATTGAAAGTGATATATTTCATCAAAGTGAAATATACATTCTTCCTCTCATCAGCTCTAAGACCGAATATTGAGGGAACCTACAAGCAATAGCCAACAAACAGAAAACAATAAATACACGAGATTTACGTGGTTCGGCAAACTTGCCTACATCCACGGGAGGGGTGAGGGGAGATTCCACTATGAGAAGAACACCGACGACTTGTACAATCCACAAGCTCGCCTCAAAGAAAAAGATCTAATTTTTACCTAAAAGAAATTGACCTCTCTTTTGTAAATTCCTCTTTTTCTCTCATCTAAAAAACTCTCAGCTTTTCTCTCAAAAACAGCCGCCAAGAACTCCCTGCAGACTTTTTCTCCAAGCCGCTGTTTGCCGCTGTTTCACCTCTGCAGCCGAAAACTTTCTCAACCTCTCTCTCTGCTTTTGTTTCCGCAGACTTTTCCCCGTAGCCTTTTATTCCCTGCCGCTGTTCCCACTGTAATTTTTCACCCACACATCTCAAAACCCTAGGTAAACATGTGTATTTATAGGAAACGATGTTGGGCCGGTTAAGAATACCCGCTGGCCGCTGCTTGGGTTTGGTTTCACGCACACACGTGATTTGAGATGCCAGCTGGCACACGCACGTTCACAGTCCTTTTTCTTGTAGCTTAATGCATGGCCTAATAGTCTTCAAAATGCATTTTTTTTTTTAAATTTGTAGGACTGAGCGTTTACGTTATGTTTCAAAGTGAACAAAGTGAATCAGCTAATTTCATTGGAGACCATGCCTTTTGATAGGTTAGCATGCCTAAGTCAGTTGTTCTCCAGGAATATCAAAGCTACTCCGTTCTATCCAATAACATTGAAGTTCTAAAATATTTCTGTGTTGAATACAAAGTATTTGGAAAATTAAGAGACTGGACAAGAAGGTAAGAATCAAACAGGATACTCTCGAGATTTGCTTCATAGTGTTGAAGAATTCTGGAACTAACTTCCTGTAGGAAGTTGTACTCAAGGTTCTAAATATCGAATATCAGGGAAATATTGGACGAACAAAATCTATATGGGATTGTGGACATCAGGGAAATATCGTGGATATGTAGTAAATGTTGGGGTGCTATATCGGATGATGTGCATATATAATATAATGCCCAAAATGTAATCTAAGCATACTTAATAAAATGTATGCATACGAAAATGTAAACAATGTTTATTTAGGATCACTAACCAATCTTTTAAAACGAATAAAAGTCCAAATCAACATTATAACATTTCAGCCGATTTTTTAGGCCAAAATGTCACTTGATACATCCGAATAATCATGATATATTGCACTTGATACATCCGAATAATCATGATATATTGCCTAAAATTTGCCAAAAGAGCTATATACTTTTGTGACAAGCCATATAAAAGAACATATCGACCAACATATTGGCTGATATATCGGTCATGTCGAGGATATTATCGCCTAAACATTGTCAAAAGTGGAAAAGGATATTGAGACAGTGTCGTTTCGCGACAAGCCTTTAAAAGGGTATATAGGCCGATATATTGGCCATGTCAGGTATATTTAAAACTATGGTTGTACTGTTTTCTGAATAAATCTTCACCTGGTCTGTTTCTTGGATTTGGTTGAAGAATTTTTAAGAGAGGACAACTGAGAAGAAATTCCTGCTATCAACATATAGGTTTGAGAAATATTTCTTCTATAAAATCAATTCATTAAAACCTACTACCTACAGATTATTTTCCGGCATATAATTCCATCTAAATCTAAACCATGAACTTACTTTTTATGCTATTTCTCAGCTAACATTTTTTCGAATATTTCATCTTTTAATCTAAAATTATGTTATTATTTTCTCAGCTTGAAATCCTAGGAAGAATACGACACCCACATCTCCTCCTCCTTATCGGTGCCTGTCCAGATCATGGTTGCTTAGTCTATGAATACATGGAAAATGGCAGCCTTGAAGATAGACTCCAATGCAAAAACAACACGAGTCCACTTCCATGGTACTACCGCTACAGAATCGCTTGGGAAATCGCTTCAGCTCTCGTTTTTCTCCACAGCTCAAAACCTGATCCTATAGTCCACCGTGATCTCAAACCTGCAAACATCTTGCTCGATAAAAATTTCGTAAGCAAAATTGGAGACGTGGGTCTCTCTACTATATTACCCGATTTGAATTTTTCCAAGTCCACAATGTATAAGGACACTGCGCCTGTTGGCACATTCTTTTACATTGATCCTGAGTATCAGAGGACAGGACAAGTATCACCGAAATCAGATACATACGCATTAGGGGTGATTATTTTGCAGTTGATTACTGGAAAGTCGCCAATGGGACTTGCATACAGAGTAGAAATGGCATTGGAAGTTGATTCGTTGGTCGATGTCTTGGATTCAGGAGCTGGTAAATGGCCGATAGAAGAGACCAGAGAATTGGCTGTTCTTGGACTAAATTGTGTAGAATTAAGGAGAAAGGATCGGCCGGAGTTGAAGGATAGTGTTCTTCCTATACTTGAGAGATTGAAAGATTTTGCTGATAAGGTGCAGAACTCGGTGGGGCATATGTCTCCTGGAATCCCGGGACATTTCATCTGTCCGATACTTCAGGTTAGTATTTTTTTTTATTCAATTACTTGTGATCCTAGAATTTATGTTTTATTCCAATTCAACACATGAAAATGATTTTCAAAGTCCCTGTCACTGAGGTACTGTTTGGTTGACGAGAAATAGAGCTGCAACAGCAAATGCTAGTCAAATTTCAATTTCCAATGTTTGGTTATCAACAAAGTAGCTGGTAATCATGATTAGATTTTGATTTCGTTAAAATAGCTGTATTATTCGATTTGTCGTGAAAAACGTTGCGAACCTTGCCTCAATTAAAAAATTGAATATTAATGTCGTGTCGTCATGTTAGTGGATTCCAATGCCAAGAAAAAAAATAAAAATAAAAATAAAAATAAAAATTAACAATGTCGTATAATTACAGATAAACAAACATATAATCTGCAATATAAGTACATATTCTGCTACAGATATGCAAATACAGATATGCAAATCTAACGAACTTTTTCCTATTAACTAAAGCAATTGGGTTTTATACGGTTCATATTACAATGCACCTCAAAATAGATCTTATTACAAAATTACGTGATCTTGAAAATGAACAATCCTTATCTCAATTCGTATGACTTTAGCTTCCAACTGAAGTAGTCTTGACTTCGATACTCGCCACTGATGTTTCACACAAATTATATTTGTTTTTACAAATAAACCCAAAGTCTTCCTTTGTTTATTTTGAAACTTACCCATTTAAAAAAGTTTATTTATATTAGTTCCTTAAATTTTTTCATATTTTGAAATTAATCCCTCAATCATTGAAATTTGCTATTCGGGAATTTTTGTTCTTTTACATATAAACCTATAATTTTACTCGGTTCATTAAAAACATGCCCACTTAAAAAAAATTATATAGTAGTCCCTCAAAATTTTCCTATTTTGAAATTAATCTCTCAAATCATTGAAATTGCTATTAGGTCTTGCAATTCTTAAGTTATTTACAAATTGGTCCATCAAATCATTAAAACTGCCATTAGGTCCCTTAATCCTTAAGTTATTTTGAAACTAGTCTCTCTAATCAATGGTAGGAAACAACACTAGAGAGATTAATTTGAAACAATTATGACTTATGAGAAGTAAGAAATCTAATAGCAATTTCAATAGTTCGAGGGACTAATTTTAAAATAACTATTTTGGGGACCCAATAGAAATTTCAATGATTTGAGACCCAATAGAAATGTCAATGATTTTAGGGGCTAAATTCAAAATATAAAAGATCTAAGGAATTAATATCGAGAACTCTAAAAAAAGGTTCTTAGATATAAACCCGAAGTTTTATCCCCATTTATTTTTAAACCTACTCACTTCCAAAATCACTCTTAGGCCTAAAATAGTCGATCAAAAGTTTTGCCCAATTTACTTATAAACCCATTCATTCCCAAAAGGTTGTTCGTTTACTAAACCCAAGGTTTTACCCACGTCTGTTTTTTAAACCCACCTACATCAAAGATCACTCCTAGACCAAAATACAAAAATGGAATATTTTTAAAGTCATTTTTTATTTCATCAGTTTAGTATGTAGTGACAGATGCTCTATTCTCTGTAACTTGCTATTTTTTGAAGTGCTTAGGTGTACAATGTAACAAAATATTTGACCATCATATCTTTGGC